GGGCCTCGAGGAGGGCGACGGGCGGGGCGCTTACCTTTGAAGTACGGCAGGAAGGACACGGTCAGGCCCTGGCCCGGGACCTCGGTCTGGAAGCCGGGCGCGAAGGTGCGCAGCGTCACCGAGCTGTTCTGCCGCACCAGCACCTGCTCGATGGAGCCGCCTGCGCAGAACCAGCCGAAGTGCAGGTCGTGGACGGCGCCGGCCACCAGGTAGCTGAAGCTGGCGTTGCAGGGCCGCTCGTGCGTGTGCTGCTGCAGCTTCTGCGCCGGCGTCAGCGCCAGGCTCAGCCTGTCCTTGGGCACCAGCAGCTTCCAGGAGAAGTCGCGCAGCTGCACGGGCAGCCGCAGCACGTCGGCGGGCACCTGCAGCGGGAAGGACCTCCGCCGGCAGTAGTGGTAGTCGCTGCAGCCTGCGAGAGAGGTGGGGTCGCTGCGCGCAGGAGCCCCGCCCCGCCCGGCCCCGCCCCCTCCCCGGTGCTCAGGGGTCCAGGCCGGGACCGCCTCCCCAACGCGGTGCTGGGGGGCAAAGGTCGCCCTAGAGGACAAGGCACGCGGTACCGTGGGCGCCACACCCGGGGCTCCCCCGTCCCCCTCACTCCCTATATCCGCTGTGCATTTTACTCATTTTTACAGTACCGGTGATTGAACCCAGGGTCTCTGCGCTGAGCTCCATCCCCAGGCCTTTTTATTTTTATTTTGAGAAAGGGTCTCCCTAAGTTACTAAGTCACCCAGGCTGGGCTCCAATTGTGACCCTCCTGCCTCGGCCTCCCAGAGTGCTGGGAGGACAGGTGTGCGCTGCCACCCCCGGCTGGGCGGGCAGGGAGGGGACACGCGGGCGAGGGGCCGTACTTAGGGTCTTCTCCGCCAGGGCCCACAGCCGCGTCAGGTCGTCGCAGAGGAAGGAGATCTTGTATTTGGAGCCAGGCGCCAGCGTGACGTTGGGGCTGCAGGTACGGGACTCCAGACACACGAAGCAGCCGGCGACGAACCTGCGGCTCAGCTTGGGCCGGGGCTCGATGGTGAGGAACAGCGTTCGCTCCTGGCTCAGGTCGACCACATAGGTTCTGTCTGAAACCACAGAGAGAGGCAGCGTGACGTGGGGCAGGGGGCTGGCGGCCGAAGGCAGAGGACAGCCGTCGCCAGCAGGGACCCGGCCTGGGGTGCCAGAGAATGGATGGTCATCGGTGGCAAGGGAGGGCAGGGCTTCACCCCAGCAGAGTGAAGAGGGCATCACTGTCAGCGTGAGGAGACCCCCGAAAACGCCTGTCTGACCATGTCCTAATTAATGCATGGTCGGCCAGGCGTGCTGGTGCACGCCTGTAATCCCAGCACTCAGGAGGCTGAGGCAGGAGGAACACTGGGAGTTTGAGACCAGCCTAGTGCTCAAGGGCAGCCTGAACTGCATAGCGAGACCCTGTCTCAAAAAGACCAAAAAACCAAAACAAAACACATGGTCAGGGACAAGGGACACACGGACGTTTTCAAGACCCTGACAGCTGTCAGGCCATTTGTGGAAAAGGAGACAGAGGGACTGGGGACTTAGCTCAGTGGCACAGCGCCTGCCCCGCAGCAAGCGCAAGGTCATGAGTTCGATTCCCGGTACCAGAAAAAAAAAAAAAAAGGAGACAGAAACGTGTAAACTCCAAAATATGGAGCCAAGTAAAACCAAGTGTTCCATCTGCCCTGGTCAGAGCAGGGACGTGAGCCTTTGGGGAGGCCAGAGGGCAACAGCACCCTCTCACAGCTGGGGGGACGGGGACAGCCTGTTACAGTCCCCCGAGGCCCCCCGCACTGGGAAACCTGGCAGTGTGATGTGACCCACCTGTGCCCCCCTGGGCTAGAGGCCATGCAACACTGATCGTTCAATAAACCAGGGGATGCTGGTGAAGGGAATATTATGCAGCACACAAAAAGAATGAGGGAGAGCTAAATGCACCCATCAAATCCTCCTTCATCTCGAAAGGAGCAGATGGCGAGATTAGGTAGAGAGGGAGATGCACGCTTCCTCTTCTCGGTCTCCCATCTTCCCAGAGTCACTGCCGTAGTTTGGCAAAGTCCCCGTTCTGTGTGTGCAGGGCCGTGGCTGTGCGTGGTGTTTATGCAGCCAGACCACCTGAGCACAGCGGTTTCCTTCCTCACCACACAGGGCTTCGTGCTCCCTGAGCTCACTGTGGCCACCTTAATAATTCTTTTCCATCTTTTTTTGTACTGGGGATTGAACCCAGGGCCTTTACATGCAGGTATATCCCCAAGCTGTCTGTCTGTCTGTCTCCGTATCTGTTTTTTTGAGACAGGATCTCACTATACAGTCTGGCCGGGAACTCTTGGCAATCCTCCTGCCTCAGCCTCCTAAATTCTGGGCTCACAAATGTGCTCCGCCTGCCGCCCCCCGGCTATTTTTTGAGACACAGCGTTCATTCCCAGGGCTGCCATGAGCTTGTGATCCTCCTGCCTCAGCATTCTGAGTAGCTGTGCACCATGCCTGCCCCTAATCATTTCTGTGGCACTTTTAGGAGAAAAATTTTTCCTTTAAAGTGAAAATGGGGCCCAGGGGAAAAGTCAAAGGCCACACACGGCGCAGACCACTGCAGGCAGAATGCAAGCCTCAACATATGGGCTACCCAGGCGCAACAGCAACAACGCAGTAACAATCAACCATCAACGCGGGGCTCCACAAGCTTATAAAAGTGGAGAAGGAACAACGCCAGCCACTGTTTACCCAGAGCTGAGCCAGAAGCCACTGCTGAACATGCGGCAAACGGGTCCCACCCGGGAGACCCGGAGCCCAGAGACCAGGGCTTTGGAAGACATTCCTGGTTTGCTTGCTGTTGTCAGAGAAAGCAAATTTCTCTTTTTCTTTTTGTTTTGAGACAGGCTTGTGCTATGTAACCCAGGCTGGTCCTCCTGCCTCAGCCTCCTGAGTGTTGGGATGACAGGCATGCGCCACCGGGCCCAGCATATTTTCTGGAAGCTAGAGGAGGGCGCCTGGAGCAGGAGGCCAGGAGGGGCCCTAAGGGAACACCACCGGGGGCGGGCGAGGACTGACTCAATCACGGGCAGCAGGGCCACTGCACCTTTTGGAAATTATACAAAGGGTCATTATAGTAGCAGCCCAGGGGTGACCCGGGAGCCCCCAGTTCTGCACTTATTTCCTGCCATGAAATTCCATCCTTCCACTTGCAGAGATGTTTCTTTTCACTAATTGTTTTACTCACCGAATTTCTGATATTGTTATGTGGAACTAGGAATGCCATTCAATTTTTTAAATAAAAAAGTTCTCTTGTAAAAAAAAAAAAAAGAAATTATACAAAGGGAAGCCGGGCTTGGTGGCATCCACCTGCAGTCCTAGCACTTGGGAGGCTGAGGCAGGAGGATTGCCGAGAGCACAAGGACAGCATGGGCTACACAGGGAGACCCGGTCTCAAAAAAACAAACACACAAAAAAACACCAACAACACAAAAATGAAAACCATGAAGAGCCGGCTTGGCTTCCAAAGGCAACATCACGTTGGCGTCTCTCCACTCTGAGAGGAGACTGCAGATCCGGTCACCGCCCCACACCCAGTTCCGGAGACCCTCGGGAGGGCAGCGGGGGGCCACTCACTGCTCTCGGTCTGCGGGTGCTGCACCAGCACGCGGAAGCGCAGCCGCAGGGCCCCGGGGCTCTGGGTGTCCTGGTCGCAGCCCTGCAGGGACAGGTTGAAGTTCCCGGCCATGTTGCCGGGCTGCGGCTCGTCCAGCCGGAACACCTCGGGGTTGGTGGCCGAGCCGGGGATGTGGTACTCCACGCGCTCCTCCTTGCGCACGCAGTTGGACACGTTGAAGTCCAGGAAGGACACGCTGGCCCGCAGGTGCGCGGGGACCACGAACTGCCAGGTCATGAGCTCGTCCTCCGGGAAGCCGGCCGGGTAGTTGGCCGACATCAGAGTGGCCGCGCCTTCGCCCTCGAACACAGACTCAATGATGCACAGGCCTGCGGGCAGGGACGGTCAGTCAGGGGCGAGACGGGAATGCAGGGGGCTCCGCGAACTGGCCCACGGGGCACAGAAGCTGGATTGATACATTTTTGAGACAGGGTCTCATTTCTACCCCAGGTTGGCCTTGAACTCATGGTGATTCTCCTGCCTCAGCCTCCCAAGTGCTGGGATGACAGATCACAGCACCACACCTAGCACTGTTAATTTTGTCTCTAAAATGATTCGCTTCATTGTACGTTTGTGTCATCCTATTCTTTATAATCGCTCTGTTGGGCCGGGGATTTAGCCCAGCGACACAGCGCCTGCTTGGCAAGCGTGAGGTCATGAGTTCGAGTCTCAGTTCTGGAAAAAAAAAATTACCCAAAACAAATGGTTCTTTTGTTTTTATTTTATTTTTTTTTTGGTTTTTCTCCGGTACCGGGAACTGAACTCACGACCTTGAGCTTGCCAGGCAGGCGCTTTGCCGCTGAGCTAAATCCCCAGCCCCAAATGGTTCTTTTGGGCTGGGGATTTAGTTCAGCGGCACAGCGCCTCCCTGGCAAGTGCAAGGTCGTGAGTTCGATTCCCAGGACCGGAAAAAAACAACAAAAATAAAGAAGTATAATGGCTCTGTTTTTACCAGCTCACAAACTCCCTGAACACTTAACAGCCAACTCGCCGGACGTGGCGGTGCACCCGCCATTCCAGCACTCAGGAGGCTGAGCTGGGAGGACTGCTGGGACGGCAAGGTCGGAGTGAGTCTGAGGCCAGCCTGGGCTACATAGCGAGACACTGTCTCAAAAAACAAAACAAAAGCAAAACCAGACCAGCAACTCCCCGAGGCAGGGACAGTGAGCCCCAGGCGCTGGCCCTGCGGGGAGGGGCACTCACGTTTTATGGCCGTGTGGTTGACGATGCTGAAGCCAGACACGTTTCTGTGCTGGAACCACGGGAGGTGCAGGGCCACCTTCACCCCCTCCTGCAGCTTGACGCGGGACACCGTGCCGTTGCTACCGCAGAAAGTGCCGATCTTGACCACGGTGGTGCCCACGCGGCCGCTGACGGTGCGGGTGACGCCGTCGGGGCAGCGGTCGCCCGGCCCGATCTGCCGGAGGCGCGGTCCGGAGAAGCGCAGCTCCAGGCCGGCGCTCTTGTGAGCGCGCACGTCCCACACGAAGGTCTTGTTGAGGGCGGGCAGCGCTGCGGCGGGGGGCTGCAGCGGGACCTCGCCCGGGGGGCACGGGCCGGACGTGCAGTCTGCAAGAAGCCGCGCGACTGTGACCCGGGTACCACGCAGAGCCGCGCGCCGCCCGCTCGGTCCCCTTCCAGCTGCCCTGGGCCGCAGGCGTCCCCTCCGTCCCCAGCTGCCCGAGCCAGGCGCCACAGCTCTGAGTCCACTCGAGGGGTCTGGAGCTTATGAGGCTTGGGAACGTCTTGCTGGGGTCTTGGCATCAAGGGACACCCTCACCCCGTGCCATCCGCACCCAGGCCCCGGGGACCAGGCCTGTGCACCCCCTGCCCCCTGCCCCCGCCTCCTGCTGGACAAGCAGCTCAGACAGAACCCCCATCCCAGGCTCTGCTTCGGGTGCCAGGCGCACACCACCCCCAGCTGCTGTTTCCTGGGCAACTTCCGGCCGGCTAGTGGAAGTGCAGGGCCTGGAAGCGGGGGAGCCCTTGTGTGGGGCCCGCACCCTGGCACTTCCTACTTCCCCTGGATGCAGTTACATTTTTGCCATTTTTAGGGCACAGGGCCAAGATTCACCTTTTATTTTATTTTCAGACATTTTTTGAGACAAGGTCTCACTATGCAGCCCAGGCTGGCCTCGCACTCATGGCGATCCTCCCGCCTCAGCCCCCCCCGAGTGTGGGAACGACAGGCGTGTACCACCACGCCAGGCTCCAGGGCTCCTGACAATCAGCCCCATAAAGCAGCCCTGTAAGAGCTGAGCTCCAGGGCGCGGAGCCGGCCCTCCCCAGCTCACCGACATTCTTCTGGATCTCCAGCACGAAGTGCTTCTCTGGGTCAGGGCAGGTGAAGGTGAAGCTTGTCCGCTCCCCGGGTTTCACGAACAGCACGCTCATGGGCCGCTTGGCGACGAGGAGGTGGCAGGGTCTCGGGGCCACGGCCGGGGTCACGGGCTTTATGAGGATGGTGACGCCGCTTCCCCGGGGCACAGTGATCTCCGTGTCCCCTGCGGGGAAGGAGAAAGGCGGAATGAGCTGCGCGAGGAGGGCCACAACTGTCCCACAGGGAGAGTGACGGAGCCCAAGAGCTCGCTGACAGCGCGGGCCCTACCGGCGGGAAAGGATCAGGACGCTGCTGCCTGGCCGGGCCTGCCTCTCACTTGGATTAGTAACGTTTCCAAACATGAAGGCACCACACCCCATCTCTGCTGCCTTGACTCTGCACTCAGATGCCCGGCTTGTGCAGAATTAAATAACCAGAGATGACTGACTGCAGGAGACAGTCTGCGGGCATGGTGGCGCACGCCTCTAATCACAGCACTCAGGAGGCTGAGGCAGGAGGATCACTGCAAGTTTGAGACCAGCCTGGGCTACATAGTGAGTTCAAGGCCAGCCTGAACTACACAGCAAGACCCTGTCTCAAATAAAAAAGCAAGTCCAGATACAGAGGCATCCAGATGTGGAGACGTGTTTGTCCACCTGCAAGCAGCCGCCGTCCCCTGGGCAGCTGCGTTATGCACCCACAACATACACATGCGGGCAGGGGTCGGGTAGAAGTCATTCGCAGCAGTTAGAAATAAACACGCGGGGTCAGGAACTCGGAAAGTTGGCACAAAACAATGTGACTGCAGTAAACGGGGTTCAGACAAGGCAGGGGCTCGAGGCCAGGTCGGAGGAAAGCTGCCCGGCCCCTCGCCACGGCTGCCCCTGCCGCAGCCCCGCCCCGCCCTCTCTGTGGGTGCTGCAGTGCTCGAGGCTGGGCAGCAGCGGACCGGGGACAGTCACGTGGGTCCTGAGCCCTGGCACCTGGGTGGTGGCTGTTTGTTCCGCTGTATTCAGTCTGAACAGATGGTTGGAGCCATATACATAAGGCGCTCGTAACAGCTAGCGAACCAAAAGCCACCTGCTAGGAGCCCTCTGTGAGGCCTTATTTCTCTCCTTTAAAGTCAGCTTTCTAGCCGGGTCTGGTGGTGCACGCTTGTAATCCCGGCACTCGGGAGGCTGAGGCAGGAGGATTGTTGCGAGTTTGAGATCAGCCTAGGCTACAAAGTGAGCTCAAGGCCAGCCTGAGCTGCATAGTGAGACCCTGTCTCAAAAAGACAAAAAAAAAAAAAAAAGTCAGCTTTCTAGCCGGGCGTGGTGGCACACACCTGTAATCCCAGCACTTGGGAGGCTGAGGCAGGAGGATCGTTTTGAGTTCAAGACCAGCCTGGGCTACAAAGTGAGCTCAAGGCCAGCCTGAGCTGCATAGTGAGACCCTGTCCCCAAAAGACAATAAATAAAGTCAGCAGCTTTCCTGGGCGTCACTGATAAGGCTCAGGTTAAGTATTTGAAAAGTGTACCTCCACAATCAAGATACACAAACAGCGACATCGCCCCAAGAGCGCCCCTGCAGTTGGATGCCAGCGAGTGCCCCGTGGCTGTGCCTGACCTGCACACCCTGCTCCTGGAGTCCTCACTCCGCTCTGGGCCCTGTTGCCTCCGCCCAGCTCATCTTGGTGGGAGATGGGCTCCGAGCATCTAATTAATCGCAGGAAGGAGGGTGCGCCCTTTCCAGCTCTAACACTGGGATCCTCCCAGAGGACTGCAGGCCGAGGGGGCCCGAGCCATCAGATGAAAGACGAAGCGGGACGTGCGTTCAGAAGCGCGCTTGCCGGCCTCTCCAGAAGCTGCAGCTGCCCTTACACCCGGGGCTGCTTTGCTGTCACTGTAATGTCTTAACATTTGTTTTTAAGGGTTAGCGTTAGGACTGTCATTTGGAGACAGGGTCTTGCTATGTAGCTCAGGCTGGGCTGGAACTCACAGCAATCCTCCTGCCTCAGCCTCCTGAGAGCTGGGATCACAGGTGTGCGCGAGTGCACCACTACGCCCAGTGAAAATAATTAAAAAAAAAAACACCAAGAGCCAGGCATGGTGGCACACGCCTATGATCCCAGCGCTCAGGAGGCTGAGGCAGGAGGACTGTTGCGAGTTTGAGGCCAGCCTGGACTACAAAATGAATTCAAGGCCAGCCTGAACTACACAGCAAGACCCTGCCTCAAAAAGACCAAAAAAAAAAAAAACCCCAAAAAAAACAACAACAAAAAATCACATCAAGAAAAGCATTCATTTATCAAGTAGACAATAAATGCATAAAGAATAATCACAAACACAGTTAAAATATGGTTTGATAATATTGTGGGGTGGGCCTGGCTTCTCTCGGGGTTAGGGAACATTTTCAAACCTCTTTACATTAGATGCAGAAAAGACTGAAGAGAGCTCAGCACGACTTCTCCATTCAGTTCTCTGCCCGCTTTCAGCCAGATCAGTACCCAAAATAACTCTGGGTACACAACAGCCCACTCATTATTTATAATACTGAAGAAAAACATATACACTTTCACAGAAATTCATTTTAAAAGAATCTTTGAATCAACAAACATTTCCTGAGTTCACCATATATCCCAAGGAGCATTTTTTTGGGTACAAATGATTAATGACAGAAACCCCCAGAGTCCCTGCACTCGGGGAGTTAATAGTGCAATTGATCAGTTTTATTTATTTATTTATTTTAGTACTGGGAATCGAACTCGTGACCTTAGGCTTGCCAGGAAAGCGCTTACGCCACTGAGCTGTATCCCTGGCCCTGGATCAGTTTTATTTTTAAATTTTTTTGGTAGCGGAAATCGAACTCACGACCTTGCGCTTGCCGGGCAGGCGCTGTGCTGCTGAGCTAAATCCCCAGCCCCCCTTGATCAGTTTTAAAAATGATACAGTTGCGAGTCCCCATGTGGGTTCTGCTCCCCAACTCCCTGGGGTGCGCCTGGGGCTGCAGCCTGCAAGCTGCTCGGATCACCCAGCAGGGGGGACCCACCTGGAGGGCCCTCATCCAGGGGAGAGGCTGCCGACCTGGAGCTGGTGTGGGCAGTGGGTGGGTGCCAAGCATCACAGCACAGACGAGAGCCTATCAGCCTAGGCTGCCTGCGGGCTGAGGCCTGGACAGGGGAGGGACACCTGACTTGGACCCCACCCCGCTTGTCATTAACTTGTTCAGATCAGTGAGGCACACATCTCTCACCTGTGATGAGAAGGCTACAGATCCGCCTGCCGAAGGACAGTGAATCTCCACCTTCACATGAGACCCCAAACCAGCCTAAATATCAATAAGCTCAGCCAGGCATGGTGGTCAGCATGCCTGCAATACCAGCACGCCGGGAAGCTGATGCAGGAGGATCACAAGTTCAAATCCAGTCTGTCCAATTTGGTGACTTAACAAGACCTTGTCTCAAAAATAAAATATAAAAAAAAACCAAACCAGCTGAGGATGTAGCTCGGTGCAAAGGCCCTGGGTTCAGTCCATAGTACTATAAAGCCAAAGATAAAAACAAAAACAACAACAAAAGCAAGCACTTACTGAGTGCTTAGGGCATGTCGGGCCCTAGGATCATAGGCATTCAGTATTTCTTTCTCTCTTTTTTTTTTTTTTTTTTGGTTACTTTGCGGTAAGGTCTCACTATGTAGTGCAGGCTGGTTTTAAACTCATGTAGCCCAGGCTGGCCCCAAACTTACTTGGACCCTCCTGCCTCAGCCTCCTGAGTGCTGGGATTACACGAGTGCACCGCCATGCCTGGCTGCATTAAGTATCTCTAAACCCCACAAGCGCCCCCACTCAGCTCCAGGTTGCGGATGAAGTCACAGAGGCTGGGTCAGGCTGGCTAAGGGCCGCGTCCAGGCTTCTGGGGCTAAGCCAGGCAGGAAGGCAGGCAAGGCAGGCTGAGCCCAGGGCAGGGAGAAGCAGTCACAGCCCTCGTCCCGCCCCCGGAAGTCTGCAGGCGACTGGGAACCTCGTGATAGAGCAGCAGATGCAGCAGAACTGAGCCTTCCCAGCTGCAGGCTCTGCGGGGCCTCCCGGGGACCAGAAGGGTCCGGCTCCGTCCAGACAGCCCACGCCCGCGCCACTCCACGCACACCTCCCCTCACAGAATCGCCCGAAGGCGTGGCTTGAATGTGAACCTCAGATCCACAGCTCCCGGAATTGAAGCACTCAGGACTCGGCTCTGCCTCCGCGGGCTCCGCAGTGTCCTGACAGGGGCCCGCGGTGGAGGAGTCCGAGGTGAACGTGGGCAAGTCACTGGCAAAAGCACAGAGCGCCAGGGCAAGGGCAGCGCAGCCGCCGGCCTTGGGGCTCGTTTTCCAGACAGCTGTGGTCAGCGAGACTCAGGGGTGAATCCGGCCGCGTTTAATTCCTCAAATCCCCACCCTCCAGCCTTGCGCTGAGTTCAAGCAGCCGGCTGGGCTTGGCAGGGGCCCCGCGTGCCCTTCTGGGTGGCTGAGCCCTTGTGCACCGGGGGAGGGGGCCGGGGAGGCCCCGCAGCCCCGCCAGCCCCACCCCTACTTCCTGCGACGGCCACATGCTCAGGCCGGGCTGTGGGCTGAGTTTGGCCACAGCACTCGCGGCGAGTCTGGCTCGAGCCGCCAGCAGGCCAGGGGCCGGCAAAAAGGATGCAGAAGGCTGAGGCTGGACTTCCAGAGTCCCCTCGGGGGACACCCCGTCCCCTCCTCTGCTGACAGAGACCCAGAGCGCCCTAGAAAATAGCTCAGCATTTCCTTAACTCTTGGCGCGACCGAACGGGCAGGAGAACGACTTTCTAACTCCCGGTCCACCCCGCGCCGACAGTTTCCAGGCGGGCAGGGGCACGGGCGTCCACCGCAAAGAGCACCTCCCAGACGCAATGCTGGCGGTCAGCTGTCGGGGCGGTGCCGCTGGCCACTTCCCGCAGAAGCGAGGGGACTGCGCAGAGCCTCCGACCCCTCTGAGGCGGCCCGCTTTCTGGGGTCAGAGTCGCACACCGGGTTAGGGGCGCCCCTGCCAGAGCGAAGCGGTGGCCTGGCTGCACCACGGTCTGTAGGACACGGACGCAGCCATGCCGAGACGTCCCCGAGCCTGTGGCAGCCGCGCTGTGGGAGGCCGACCGCACACAGACCATCCAGCAAGGGAGCTGCATAACAGACCCCCGACGGGGAGTGC